CTTAATGAACCAACTCAATGCTCATCTTTTTAGTGAAGTGGGGTAGAGGCGACACAAAGCAGCGTCTTTTGTTGTCAGCAAGGTAACCTGTGTGAGATATGCATTGAAGTGGTCATAGGGATCTGAGGATCCATCGTACTTCTCTAGAGGAAGATTTCTCCAGCTATCAGATATGGTTGTCTCCATAATGTTTTGAGTGAAAGGGTGCTTGTATGAGCCAGGTGTTGCCACCACTAGTGGAAAAAACACTTTTAAAATCGGTCGTTTTTGACTTTTAAAATCGGTTCTGTGATCGATTTTAAAAGAGCCGATTTTAAAAGTGGGACTTTTAAAATCGGTCAGCCCATGACCTAATAGGGGAAAAGTGTTTAGCTTAGACTCATCCTAGGTTATTCTTGAATTTGGAACAACGACATGGATTGATAACAAACATGGGAATATGGGAGGATAAAAGGTGGGTTTCAACAATTGTTATCAAATGTAAAAATGCATAAAGGGGAGTTCGCTATCAATAAGACTTATAGAGCTCTATATACCATAAAATTTGGAGGATTGATAAGTGTATAATTAGTCTGATGAAATATCAATTTGAGACACTTATCTAGCACAATTTTTGTATATACCTGTTATAATTTTGGCAAATACACATGGAATCAAAGAGGGGCTCTTAATTTAAGTTATTACAGGGAGTGATGAATTTTTTTGATTAGACTTTCCTCTTACTTTGTAGCTTTTGAAATCTGGAGGTAAACGGTTCAGCCCTTCTAAAGGGCCGAGCGCTTTCAAGCCAGAGAACTTAACAAGTGCAACAGATGAGAGGCGCTCAACCATTCCCAAGTGCTGAGCGATTTTGGCCCTGGAAGAATGAGTACTCTCTGCCTCCTAAGCACTCATCGGTTTTGAAGCGCTCAGCCCTTTTACTTGCTTAATGGTGAAGAATTGTCTCAAGCGCTCAGCGGATTTCAAGGGCCCAGCCCTTCAGATTACTTCATGTTGAAGAATTCTCCAAACTGCTCAGCCGTTTTGAGGCGCTGAGCAGTTCCTTCTCTTTCTTGCCTACTCTGTTTAAATTCCAGCAACTATAAAAGGGCAGAGGAGAGAGAAAAAAGGAGAGATTGGACACGAGAGAAGAACAAAGACAAAGGAAGGAAACATAGCACCTTAGAGCTCGTGGGAACGTGATTCTTAGGAGGATCTCTTTCTTCTAGCTTTCTTATTACACTTTTGTGATTTCTCTTCTATGGAGAGCTAAAGTTTTAGGGTTGGGATTAATGTAATCATCGAACTCCTTTGTATTCCTTTTTGATTCATATATATATTACATCTATTACTCAGTGTTAGTGATTTGTATTCTGTTCTTAATGCTTTGATAAACTGACCATTTATCTTTGATCTTGGATTTAGAAGTTGGTTGGAAAACGTTTTCTGAATCTAGATTTGAAACAAATCACCTATTAGTTTTGAAAGCCAGGGATGGTTTGAAATTAATAGTTGCAACAAGTTCTGATTCTTAATGCAAGACATTTAACTAAATGAAGTGAGGAATCATTCATTGAGTTAAATATCTTAGAATTTCTTATGCCAAGGAATTGAGTCTGAACGAATATAGAGAACTCAATAGCAATGAGTAATGGAATCATTTACCAAAATCAATAGGATACATAGGAGGGAGATTGATGAAATTTAATCCCAACTGTTCATATCATATCTGTTTTCTTAAATTTAATCTTACTTTGGTTACTTAAGTTTAAATCACTACTCATATCAAATATTTAACATGTGTGAATACTCAAACTTTGAAATTACAAGTAACAATTAGTATAATAGAAATCAAGATCTATTTTACAAGTCCCCGAGAATCGACAACCTTTTACTATATTACAGAGACTTGGGTGCGCTTGCTCAGAGAACCAACAAGGACAAAACAATATCATTTTCTCACAGGTTTGGAAAATCAAAGTTCCACCTAAGGCAACATTTTTAATATGGATGACCATTTATAATAAATTATCCACTCTTAAAAACTTAATTAGAAGGAGAGTTCTAAATTTAGTAGATAGTTCTTATCCTTTTTGCCACTTAAAATTAACTAGAGTCGGTGTCACATTTTTTTTCTTATCAAGAAGTAGACTGACTTTGGAAAAAATATTTTTACTAGTTTGGAAACTTGAAAGATTTTACTATTTTAGGGATGTAAAAACAATGATCTCAACTTGATTCTTCAATGCTCTTGTAATTTGTGAATTGACTTTCATGAAAATAAGTAACTAACTTTTTCTTTAGAAATTGAATGTAATGTATTACACTTTGATATACTAATATAAATACACTCTCATGGAAATGATGTGATCTCTTTTTCTTATTAATAATTCATTTACCTTTTTTTTATGCTTTTATATGTTTTGAATTGTTAGTAATAAAGCTAAAATCATTAGTTTTTTTGTTGTTGTTGGTGAAGTTGTTAGTGCAAGTTCTTTCTCTTAAATTAAGAAAAATATTGACATTATTTAAGGAAGAAAATTTAAGATCTCTTTACTAAGAAATTAATATAATTTTTTTTTAATCTTAGTTAATATTATAGGAGAAGAATTATCATGTGCATGTTTATCAAGGTTACAAGGGAGTGAAGTAGGTGAAATATCCAATCCGAAGCTCTGTATTATTGCATTCTTTCAAGTTTGATTTTGATTTGGTTTATGAACTTTGTCTTTATAAACATTAAAGTATTGTTGCATTGAACAAATGATCTTTTTGTGTATTTAATTGTAAGTGGAATTAATTACTTAGCTAATATAATTGTGAATCAATCATTTATCAAGCATGTTCTTATGGAGACAACTTATACACTCATTACTCATCACTGCTTACAATTGACATTGGTATGCCAGTTATTTGTTAAGAGAGGTACCCGAATTTAATGTCCAACCATGTCTCAAATAATGTTAATTTCATAAGAGGATACCTGTCAAAAAGAATCTTATTTTTTTTGTTTAAATTTGTTATTTACAACAATAAAAGAAATACTGCTATAAAATTAGAACTTAAAATAAAATAAAGCAGAAGAAATTAGCTATTTATTCGTAAAGGTGTAAAAAATGGCCTAATAATTGGGTCGAGCTGCAAAAAAAAAAAAAACCCTCAAAAGAATTCGGCCAATTTAGCTTGGCCTAATGAGTCAACAGTGCTAGGCCAGATCATTAATTTCAATACCCAAAACACTAAAAGACTTGTTATTCGATCCAATATTATTTTTTATTTTTCTTTGTAAATTTTAAATAATAAAAAAAAAAAGTCAATTTGACTTGACTTGATGGATGACTACAAAATTAATTTTGTAATAAATCTTGTCCATTTTGATATCTCTATTTACACATAATAAAATGAGATCGAGAACATAACTAGACGCGATTCATAATTTAAGGTTTAGTAAATCCTAACCAAGAATTAAGTACCCAATTAAAAAGAAAATTCAATTCAGGCCACCGAATAGGTAGAACAAGAGTCGTTATAACATATAAATAGCTTTTCGGCCATGCATATGCACGGTAATATTAATTGAATTTTGTTGTTTAAAAAAAAAAAATAGTATAAGGGTTTATTATATAATATGGCTATTGGTGTTTGTATTGAATGTTAGAAACTTAGCAAAGACAAATAGAGACGATTCACAAAGCAGCTTCTATTTCCGTCCCTAACGTGTCAAAAAAATCTAATTAATTAGTACGTAACCTTAATATTTGCACATTATTAATTACTTTGATACAGACTTTGTATAAAAATTGAGTAATTGACTAATAAAGTAGTAATAATTAAACAAACAGTCACACAAGGCGTACGACATTTTATAATATTAACAGAACATTTCTAATCTTAGATATTCAATCACGGAGTTGAAATGTATTCCAATTCCAATTATGTAACAGATCATCCTGTTATTAATGCAACGTCTCATACGTGCTTTGCAGCTTGTCCCTTTTTTTCTTCGTATAGACAAACGATTTTTAATTATTAATAAAACCAATAAGCTTGTCTAGAATCATTAAAGAGACACAAAATTACAAAAAAGTTGAGACAAAGAAGCTTATCTGTGTTGACTGTGTGCGTGTTTGTAAATGCAGGTTCAATGTGAATGACCTGATCATAAAGGATTACAATTGGATGAAACTCAATGAAAATTCAAACACGCACACACCCCACACTTGGTGTCATCATCATATTAAATCTTCAGTCAAAATTGAAAGTTTCAAACCACACATTTGTTTGGCAATATTAAAATGTTAAAGTCGTCGCAAATGTCACATTTTTTTTTTTTTTTTATAAGCAGGCTATAAATGCAACATATATACTCATCAACTTTGTTAATTTACGATTAATTCTTGTTGGATGACTACCTTAGTGTAATCTTCTATCCTGACTACACTTTTTTCAACCCTTACTCTTCTTTCATATCTCATACATTACTTTCTCTCCTATTAATTAAACCAGCAATTTCAAGTTTGACCTATTATGGTTTGCAATTATGTTTAGATATTTAAAGAAAAAAATTTGATATTATTGTTAGAATAGTAGATTGAAGCCTAACTCAACCCTACAAAACCGGCTTGTAAGGTAAGGGTTGCTTTCCACTTATATATTATTCAATTGCCTAATCTCTAGTCGATGTGGGACTTGGGTTTTTCCCAATACACCCCCTCACGTCCAGCACTATTGGGCTTGGTACGTGGATAAATGGTGGGTGGCCCTTTTTAATGATCTAGGATTGGCGGGACTTGAGTTTTTCCCAATACACCCCCTCATGCCTATGAGACATGCATCAATGGTGGGTGGCCCATTTTTAAAGTGGATCTAAATGGCTCTGATACCATCTTAGAATAGTGGATTGAGCCTAACTCAACCCTACAAAACCGGCTTGTAAGGTGAGGGTTGCTTTCCACTTATATATTATTCAATTGCCTAATCTCTAGTCGATGTGGGACTTGGGTTTTTCCTAATAATTATCCCCTTTATATATCCCTTTTAGTGAAAGCACAACAACACATTTTCATCCATCTCCAAGACTTTGATATTATCCTAGTCCACCCCATGGACAAAACCAAGAACTAGACTTTTCTCTTTAGTCCTAAGCCAATTCTAGTTTGAGGATCACAAGAAAATGGTGCAACTGAAGGTTGTAACCCTAACAACCTTGTTGATGTTATTGTTGTTGTCATGGTGGAGGTTTGAGGGTGCAGTAGGAGACCCTCAAACCCTATTACTCAAACAGGATTGCAGCGGATACATAGCTCCCGACTTGTCCAACTTCAACCAAAATCTTAACGCAAGTTTGGCAGACCTGAGATCACAGGTTACCAACCAAAGCAAGCACTTTGTCACGGCTCAAGCAACCACCGGAGCAAACCCTGTCTACGCCATGTTTCAATGCAGGAACTACCTCTCCATCACCGACTGCGCCACCTGCTTAGCCACCGCCATCGCCCAAATCCGCAACTGCTCCGCCGGAGTCAACGGTGCTCGTGTCATTTACGACGGCTGCTTCCTCAGGTACAACTCATTTGTTCAATATAATCTATAATTTGTTTGTGCATATTAATTCAAAAGTTATGACTTTTTCGTCACTCTTGGCGTGTACACTTTGATGATATAGGAAAAGAGAGAGTGACAAGTGATGAAACAATAGGAAGAGAGAAGAGACAAAGGTTTTGAGTTTGTTGTGAATAAAATTTTCCTTAAGGAGAGAAGAAAATAGAAAGATAAAAATAAATTTTTTTTTTCAATAAATTTAAATCGGCATATACACAAGTTAAAAACAATTTTTTTAAAGAAATTAATCTTAAAAAGTTTTATAAATTAACATATGTATAAGTTAATTTTACTTTATAAAAAAAGTTATTTATTTATTTTTTTCATATTTTCTTTTTCTATAACTGTTTATTATAGAAGTTTATTCAACCAAACATATGTAATATCTACAAAGCCTACAAGTTTTTGTCACAAAAAAAAAAGTCTACAAGTTTACAAGTTTACAAGTTTACTCTATATCAATGAGTTACAGATGGTAACTAAGTTCCAAAGATATGTTCGTTAAATTTTTTTTGTTGTTGTAATAATTGCTTTGAAAGTGATATTAAAAATTATTTTTGTTGATTTATATTATCAATACACACTACAAATAAAGAATTTTTTGCAATATTTAAAAAATATTACCTAATTGTATATAAATATTGTTAATTTACTTTTATAATATATTATCAAATGTTATATATAGTTCATGTCGTTAAAATTTTTTAATAATATTTTTACATAATTAGATAATATTTTTTAAATATGATTAAAGTGATATTTTTTATAACATTTTAATGATGTTACTAAATTTTTGTTGACTTTATAAAATATAATTAGTTTTAATTTAAATATTGTTATTAATTATTATATTTTTATATTTCCTAATTTCCTAGGAGTTCTTTAAGAGAAGGTTGAATACATTCTTAATTAGTCACTGCTAATTATATATCAAATATTAAAATTTATTTATCTTAAGTATAATTATATGATTATATATATTCTTTGTAAGTCATTTATTTATTTGATATTGAACTTTAATTATGAATAACAATTAGAGATGAGAGAAATATATATATTTTTTACTCGATAAAACTTTGATTTTAAAAATAATTTAAAAAATAATTTTGAGATAAAAAAATGTTGCTTATATGCAATAACATTTTTCAAAAAAATGCTGAAAAATAACTTGTGACATTTTCTTATTTGATATGAGACCTTAATTTTGAAAATAATTAAAAAAATAATATTAAAATAAAAAATATTATTTTATCTATTTTAATAAATATAAGAAAAAATATATTATTAAAGAATTAAAATATAGTAGTCCCATGTCTTAATATTATTATTTATTGAATTCATTAAGATGGTTGTCAGCGAGTTGAAGAATATAAAGTGATTTAGACGTTTTTACTTGGCCCAATGATACTGTATGCCGGCACAATTGACTTTGTCTAAGAAAATTGAAGGTTACATTAACACATAGATTACCGAGACTGTGGGAAAAGTCTTTTAGATATGTTTTGATCACAAGAACATGTGGGTTGACAGTTCATGAGATTAAGTCAGCATTGACTTGGATGTTTGATACTTTAAAATGTTTTGACTGTTGAGGTTCGAGAGCAATGACTTCTTTAGCCAGATCATGCCTCGCAACAGCATACTTTGTGGAAATCAGACTGCAGAAGAAAGCACTGATTTTGCTGCAGCTGGACAGCAAGTGCTGATGGATCTACAAGTAGCAACACCAAAAATCAATGGCTTCTATGCAGCTACCAAGACACAATTTTCTGGCGGTGCAATCTATGCTATTGCACAATGTGCTGAATCTCTTGCACAAGATACTTGTATGGAATGCTTGTCAGTTGAACATAGCAGCATAAAAGGTTGTCTTCCCAAGACAAATGGTAGGGCATTCGATGCTGGTTGCTTTACGAGATACTCCGAGACACCCTTCTTTGCTGATAACCAAACCACTGATATCACTCCCTTCTTAAAACAAGGTAGAGAAAAGCCACAACTCCATTTAATAGATGTTGAATGAATAAAAATGGGCAAGTGAATGTCACTTCTATTTGTATCACTATGAATTTATTTAAAATATAAGTTAAGAAGAGTTTTTCAGAACTTTTCTATTAAAAATTTAGTAAAAAAACTCTGAAAAGTTATTTTAAACTTGTATTTAAATAATAATAAGGAGTATATATCAGAGAAACTCTGAAAAACTCTTCTAAATTTGTGTGCGGACAAGCTTTATATCAACAAATTCTGATTGAGATCAAGTTCCTTTTTTGTCTTGAAGGAGGAAGTTCAAGCAAGAAGTGGGTCATTATTGGTGCTGTTGTTGGGGGTGTAGTCTTTGTTGTGATCCTTCTTTTATTATTTCCCTTGCATAGAAGATCCCAAAGTCCCAAGAGAGTTCCTAGAGGTAAGAGTAGTTGGAAAGATTTTATGTGATGCTTCGCAATTGCAACCAACTATTACACAAGTATCTTGTCATTCTTTTTATTAATATTATTATGAATTCATGACTTCATTTATATATAGGTAAAAGAAAAATCAAACTCATTTTACATGGCAGGTATCATATTGGAAGCGTCTGAGTTGAAACCTCCAACCAAGTATAAGTATAGTGACTTGAAAGCTGCAACAAAAAATTTTAGTGAGAAGAATAAACTAGGAGAAGGTGGCTTTGGTGCTGTATACAAGGTAAAAATGAGTTGTTCCACACATTCCAATCGTGACTCTAAGATTCTTTTTTAATGTAAAGCTTTCAATTAAGATCTCCATAAGCTAAGAAGGCAATATTTCTTATAAGCTACAATCCAGTGATAAGAGATAAATCACTTTTATGCATAATTTTAATTCTGATGCTATTGATCATAGGGAACTTTGAAAAATGGGAAAGTTGTTGCAGTCAAAAAATTAATTACAGGAAAATCCAGCAAGATAGATGATGATTTTGAAAGTGAAGTAACGCTTATAAGTAATGTTCATCACAGAAATCTAGTTCGGCTTCTCGGTTGTTGCAGTAAAGGCGAAGACAGAATTCTTGTTTATGAATACATGGCAAACAACAGTCTTGACAAAAGCTTATTTGGTAATTCCTACGTCAATTTCCAGTAGATCCAGATACTTTTTGTAAGTTTTCCTTTCCTTTCCCTTTTCATTTCTCCTCTAAAGTTTTGAGCATATAAACTTTGGGAGACAGGTAACAAAAAAGGTACTCTCAACTGGAAACAACGATATGATATAATTTTGGGCATAGCAAGGGGATTGGCCTATCTACATGAGGAATTTCATGTTTCTATCATACATAGAGACATTAAGAGTGGAAATATCCTCTTGGACGATGAATTTCAACCCAAAATTTCTGATTTTGGGTTGATAAGGCTCCTACCTGGGGACCAATCTCATCTTAGCACAAAATTTGCAGGAACAATGTAAGTTAAAATAAAATACCAATGACTCAACTTGCAAATTTTAAAGGATAAAATTAATGTATTTCCCAATATCTAGTGCATAATATAGTATTATTATTTCTAACATTATATATGTGGTACAAATGTCATGCACTTGTCAGGGGATACACAGCACCTGAGTATGCACTCCATGGTCAATTATCAGAAAAAGCTGATACATATAGCTTCGGAATTGTAGTCTTAGAAATCATAAGTGGCCAAAAGAGTACTGATGTGAACATCGTTGATGATGACAATGATGATGAATACCTTCTCCGACGAGTAAGGAATTATCCATAAATATATACCAAAGTCTATTTGTCTTCTTGCAACATTTTACTATTGACAATGACCCTTGGTTTTGACTATAACAGGCATGGAAGTTGTATGAGAGAGGCATGCACTTGGAGTTGGTGGACAAAAGCTTAGATCCTAATACCTATGATCCAGAAGAAGTTAAGAAAGTCATAGATATTGCTTTGTTGTGCACTCAAGCATCGACTGTAGTAAGGCCAGCCATGTCTGAAGTAGTAGTCTTACTCAGTAGCAATGAATTTGTTGAGCATATGAGACCTTCAATGCCTATCTTTGTTGAGTCAAAATTAAGGCCCCACAGAGATATCTTTGCTTCAATTGGTTCCTCTGAATCTAATGCTGCTTCTTCCAATTCTATAGTACCTGTTTGATGATCAATTATATGTGATGCAAAAGAAAATTCATGTCCAGTTCATTATTCATCATGAGTACAATTATAGGTAAATCTTACTTATTTCAAAGAACAAATTACACTGATATTTCCTGAGTTTTATTGAGATTGAAAATGTCCCATCACTTTTTAAAATTTATAGCAACCCTTACAAGGTTCACACTAACCAGTGTAAAATGTTTCTGAAGTAACAACGGATGTTAGTGTAAAGCATAGAAGATATCACTGATGTATTTAAAACTAATAAGGAGTATATATCAGTGATCTTTATGAGTTTAATGGTCCCCCAATGTTTGATGAAGAGCCAGTTCTAACAAAGCATGGGGAAATTCTGGTGATCAGACATGATCTACACACAGTAGCTACAAAATATCCATGTTTGCTAATGCATAGCCCAAGGGAAGATATGTGCATGATGTCATCATTGACAATGGAAGTTGCGAAAATGTTGTGTCCAGTTACATGGTGGAAAAAGCAAACACTTTTGAGGATCATCTTCATCCATACAAGCTACAATGACTTGTGAAATTAGAGTTGGTTAGAGACCTCTTAATTAGTTTTGGCTGGCAGAGGCATTAATGACCACAAAGCTAAACCCATAACTATACCTAAAATATGAAGAGACCAATAGCACTGGTTGTGTATGAAACCCAAAACTTCAAAATAGATCAGTTGAGTTCATCACAAGTGTAAATCCTCCAAACTTGAAAACTGTAAGAATCTCGTGGATCATAAGAGAATATGTAAATAAAAACATCTGTAGATTTAAGAGTTATTACATGAAGAATATAATCAAATTTCATATAAACACAATCGTTTGTAGCACAATTAATGAATATAAACACAATAAAAAATGAGGCGTAGACTCAATGTTGCGCTTTCAGCTCAAAACTGCAAGCCCACTAACAATATTTATGGAAGCATACCAAATATAAGGCACTGCCATGATCTTCTTGGTCCTTGCAATGCCTGGTATCTTTCTCTAGTACAGTGGCCTCGAGAGTCAATGAGAACTTGTATCAAGAAAGTGAATTATATATGGAATGTAATTCAATCTTACAAAATTAATTTATAAGACAAAAATTATTCTCTACTTATATATACTTTATTGGTCTGATCACCGATTGATTGATGTTAGATCTCCAACAACTTGTAACATGAGACTTAGGAAATTCAAATATTCAATAATCAGTTAAGAATTTATAATTAACAATTGCAATTTTTCCCAATTTTTTTTTTGTCTATACAGGTATTTTCTTTATTTGAGGTAATCTTGTTTAAACTAAGTACAAGTGGCCAAACTTTCTTGGAGTGTTTTACAAATCTGCTTTTGTGACAAGTGTACAAGTTTTTCTCAGTAGAAAAAAGGAGCTTTCTGAAGAATGGGATCAAAGAAAACGGAATTTAAGATACAAACAACAAAAATAATTTATCCCTGCATTTTCTGGAAGGGAGTATTCTCATATATACACACCACTTGGCCATGCCAGCTATATATATACTCCAAACATAAGTATACAAAAGAGTGATCAAATTGACTTTGAGACTAAATACCCACACAAACCATATATACTAAATATATAATATAATCATTTTCAATATGTGTTGTGCCTCTTTTCACTAAACTCTTATAATTAAAAGTAGTTAATATGACAAAACAGAGCCCATAATAAGGTCTGAAAGACTTTTCATAGGATAAGCCTGACCTACTTTATTTTATTAAATAAAATTTTAAAAAGTCTTGATTTAGCATTTTCCTAAACGGGTTAAGGTTAAAACACACGAGGCGTAAGTGTTGCTGTTTGATGAATGATCGCTTGCCATATTCTCTTTATCCTTTGTTAATTAGGAATTGAACTAATAATGTCCTTCAGCTGTTATCACAATAGTTGCATCATGGGGTTTCATTGTTAATTTAATGTAAAATAAGTCATTAAGTTTTAGAATTATTAATTTTTAAGAAACTCATTTTTAAAACGTTTTTCTTTTTAATGATGTAGAAACAATCTAATTGATTAAAATGTATATTTTTATTTTATTACTTGAAAGAAAGTGATCATATAATTTGGCGTAAAATATTTTATTTTTTTATTATAAGTAAAAAGAACTTTATTGATAATCCCAAGATCATGCCAAGGTTAAGCACAAGTTGTGCAAGAGATTAGTGTATGATAAAAGTAGTAATTATAGCCAACAGCCACATAAGGCGCATAAGATACTTTATTAACCAATTTCTAATCTTAGATATATCCAATCATGCATGGAGTTGAAATGCATTAAATATCATTTTGCTGTCTGTCAGTGCTGTGCATGCATCTTAATTATTCAAATACAAAGGTTGCTTAGCAGCTTATTATCCGCGTTGACTACGCCTCATAGTTGCACGATGAAGCACTTCGATGTCATCATAATTAAATCCTTTTCTCAAAATTGAAAAAGTTTAAAACCACACATTTTTTTTGGCAGTACTCAGTAAAATATTAAACTCTCTCTTATAGTACATTAATATATAAGCTAACATGCATGTTAACAACAACTTGCTATAGAGTTTTTTCTTTAAGTAGGGTTAAACCGATCTAGTTTGAGAATCACAAGAACATGCAGGTGCAACATAACCTTGTAGCCTTGGCCTTGGTGGTGTTGTGGTCATGGTGTTGGTGGAGCTTTGAGGGTGTAGTAGGAGACCCTCAAATCTTTCTACTGAAATGGGATTGCAGCGGTTTCACGGTACCCAACTTGTCGAACTTCAACCAAAACCTAAACGCGAGTTTGGCAGATCTGAGAGCACATGTGAGGAACCAAAGCAAGTACTTTGCCACGGCTCAAGCAACCAGCGGGACAGATCCTGTCTATGCTATGTTTCAATGCAGGAACTACCTCTCCATCACTGACTGCGCCACCTGCTTGGCCGCCGCCACCGCCCAAATCCGCAACTGCTCCGCCGGATCCAACGGTGCCCGTGTCATCTACGATGGCTGCTTCCTCAGGTACATCTCCATCTATTATTTCTTCTATCATCTATTCGTTATGCCTAATAATTCTAAAATGATTTTTGGCTGCTGTGCACCTTTTTATTAGATTTAGAGGTAAGAAAGATAGAATGTGGATTAAAGAACATCTTGAGCGTGCGTGAAGTTTACTGTGTTGGATATCTTCATGTGGTATTTTGTTAACGGGTCCTGATTACACTACTCACAAATGTTAAAAGTTTTTCAAATTTCATGTTTATGATGTTGATGTGTGTTAAAAGCTCTCATGTCCACATGTGATAACATCAAAATAGTATATATAACTAAGTGTAGGACAATGTTTATTGAGATTTTATAAGTTTGAGTTTAACTTAAACACATTCTAAATGGTATTATTGTTGGAAAATCTTAAATTTCTAGAGATTCCGAGATATCCGAGATATCCGATTTAAGTTATCTGGAATTATTTGATTTATCTTTTGAGTTATTTTGTTTCAGATTAGATAAGATAGTTTTTTGATAAGTTTTGATTTGATAAGATATTTTATTATCTTCTTGTTAGTTTAGTACGTTGTAAAATGACTATTTAAAGGTCATCTCTTATTCAATAAAAAACACAGTGAGTTGCTACGTTCACCCACAACATTAGTATTACCTCGTCTCTCTTATTTTTT